CAGCCAGTAACACCCCGGCCCCGAAACACAACACCAGCTTGATCTTATGTTACACGCGGGCACCAAAGCAGAAGCGCGTATGGTTGTGAGGCAGGGGCAAGGACCGAAACCACACACTGCCCTGGCTGCAAGGGCTTGGGGGCGGCTGTCCCGCCGCTCAAGGCGACATGTCGGCTCGCGGAACAATTGAACCGCCGACGGATCAAAAGACCCGTAGTGATCCGCCCTCGCGGACGAACTTCGCACACTTCGCAGGATCGCCGCCTGGCACATCAACAGCCACCCAGAGGTTGTGTATGACACGGCACTGTTTGACTCGAGACGCCTTCTGTACTGGATCTGCCCCAAAGTAACACAAGCCACGGCACCCGCCACAGACGGCTCAGACGCCGACGCGCGTTGACCAAACGAGTCGCTGGTCTGTCCCCCAGGATCCGCAACTGACGCTGACGCCCCAGCTGGAGCTCCAGCTGACACTGATGTCCCAGCCGATACTCCCACGGAGGAAAGAGCTGGAGCCCCAACCGCCTCCGCGGCGTAATGATCCTGGGGAGGGTGTGCACTCTCGCCCCCCCTGCAAACCTGATTGCTCAGAGGATGGTCGACCCGAGCACAATCAAGAGAACTCAAACACCGCAGCACTCGACCATACCTCTCCAGCGGCACTACTGGGGGCTCCCCGAATTGGTTTGGGGTTAGCCACGTCTATTGCCCTCATCCCTTCATGCGCACATCCAGGAGGCCCAGTACCCTGGCGGGGGAGTGGACCGCGGCGAGGACTGTGACCAGGGGAGGAGAAGAGCAGGGAGAGGGACGAGGAGAGGAACGGAGGAGGAAGAGGATGATGATGATGATGATGAGGAGGAGGAGGAGGAGCAGGAGGAGCAGGAGGAGGAGGATGAGGAGGAGGGAGAGAGGAAGATGGAAAGGCAAAGACCCGTCACAGCCTACCCGTCACATCCTAGCCCCAACGCGCCAACCGGGGATGAGGAAGACGCGTTACCGACGAGCGGCTGAGTCCGTAGACAGGAGGTCATCCCCCAAGCCGATTGAACGAGCATCCTTGGTATTAGACGTGCCCCTCTGCTGTGCATCATCCTGTGCTAGACGAGGCGCCCCTCATAGCTCATTAAAACAACATCCTCGGTAGAGGACGTGCCTGTTTGCTGTGCACCACCCTTTGCTGGACGTGGCCCCTCCCCAAGTGCTCGTGTAATCACCCAGGGCGGCACGCCTAGCCTCGCTATACCACCAGCAGCTCCCTCATCCCTCGCCTCACTAGCACCAGCTCTCCGACGAGTCGCCCCCCATAGCTGGTTCACCACTGATTATAAAGACATCCTCGGTACCAGACGTGCTTCTCTGCTTTGCGCCACCCTTGGCTAGACGGGGCCCCTTCACCTCCTCGAGTTGTATGCTGTGCACCACCCACCCTCTACCTCCGTGTTCCGCTGCTGCGCACATCCCGCTACTAGACGAGGCCCTTTCCCCAAGCTGATTCAACAAAACACATACTTGGTACTAGATGTGTTCCTCTGCTGTGCATCATCCTTGACCAGACGAGGCCCCTTCCCCAATATAGTTATGCAGCACATCCTTGGTACTAGACGTGCCCCTCTCCTGTTTACCACCCTGCTAGACGAGGATCTTCTCCAAGTGGATGTTTAAACAGCATCCTTGGTTCTGGACGTGTTCCTCTTCTGTGCACCGTCCGCTAATAGACGTGGCCCTTCCCCAAGTTCATGAAAACATCATCCTTGGCACCAGACCTGCCCCTCTGCTGTGCACCACCTTCTGCCAGACGATGTCCCTCCCCCAGTTGGTTAAAAAGCGCGCCCCCCCCCCCTGCTGTGCACCGCCCGCTGCTCGACGAGGGCCCTCCCGAAGTGAAGTTGATTAATGCAGCATCCTTTGTACTAGGCTTGACCCCTGCTCTACCCCACCCGCTACTAGACGAGGCCCCTCCCCAAGCTGATTCCAACATCATCCTTTGTAATGTATGCGCCCCTCTGCAATGCACAACCCTGCTAGACGAGGCCCCTCCTCAAGCGGATTCAAACCACATTCCTTGGTGCTGGGCGTGCTCCTCTGCTGTGCACCGACCGCTTCTCGACATGGCCCTTTCCTAAGCTGATTAACAAACTCATCTTTGGTACTAGACGTGCCCCTCTGCTGTGCACCACCTTCTGCTAGGCGATGTCCCTCCCCACATTTGTTAAACAGCGTCTTTGGTACTGGACTTGCCCTCTGCTGCGCACCACCCTCTGCTAGACGAGCTCCCTCTCTAAGCTGATTCATAAAGCATCCTTGGTACTAGACGTGCCCCTTTGCTGTGCACCGCCCGCTACTAGACGCGGCCCTCCCCAAGCTGATTCAACAGACTTCCTTGGTATCAGACCTGTCCCTCTAGACGAGGCGCTCCCCATAGCTGATTTGATTCAAACGAAATCCTCCGTACTAGACGTGCCCGTTTGCTGTGCACCACCCTTTTCCAGGCGAATCCCCTCCCAACGTGCTGATTATTTACCTTCGGGAGGGGCCCTGTCTGGCGGAGGGTGGTGTGCAGCAGAGCTGCACGTCTAGCCTCGCTACCACCAGCAGCTCCGCCATCACTCTCTCCACTAGCACCAGAACTCCGACGTGCCCCCCCCATAGCTGATTAGTCGCTGATTAGAGAGACGTCCTCGGTACTAGACGTGCTTCTCCGCTTTGCACCACCCTCTTCTAGACGAGGTCCCTCCCCAAGTTGATTAATCAAGCATCCTTGGTTCAAGACGTGCCCCTTTGTTGTGCACCACCCGCAACTAGACGAGGCCCCCCCATGCTGATTAAACAAGCATCCTTGGTACTAGACGTGCTCCTCTGCTCTGCACCACCCTCTGCTAGACAAGGCCTCTCCCCAAGTGTTTGTTTAATCGCCTGGAGCGGTGCGCCTAATCTCCCTAGCCCCCCCTAACCCTCCCCCCCCAAGGGGCGGCTCCAGGGGAAAATCCTGTCACCCCGCCTAACCCTTCCCAAAAGCACCCTTTGAGGGCAGGTTCCGGGGGGACCCCCCCCTCCACGAATTCCCTTTGAGGGGGGGAGTCCGCAAGGGAAACTTCCCTAACCCCCTCTAAACCCCCGAAAACCCTCCCTGAGGGGAAACCCTGACACCCCCAGACAAAACCCTGAGGGGGGGGGGGCGGTCGGGGGGACAACTCCCTAACCTACCCTAGCCCCCCCAACAAAAATTGGAGGGGTGGTCCAGGGAATAACAACAACAACAACAACAACTCTAGCCTCCCCTCGCCCTCCCAAGGACAACTTCTGAGGGGGTGGGTCGGGGGGAAAACCTCCCTGACCCCGCTCGACCCCCTCCCTGAGAGCGGGGTTCTGGGGGAAATCTTCCCAATCCCCTGCGCCCCTCCCTTTTCCCGCTCCCTGGGGGGGGGGGAGGGTCCGAAGGAAAAGCCTTGTAACCCAGCTTCATCACTACCCCCAGCAACTGCCCCTGAGGGGTGTCCAGGGGACAAGAACCCTGAGGGGGGGTTGTTCCGGGGGAAACAGACATTCTAAGATATGTTGCCTTCCCAAAGACCGCCCTGGAGGGGGGGGTCCCTGGGGGAAAACCGCCTCAGCCCCCCGAGCCACTCCAAAAACCCTTCGTGAGGGGAGGTTCCATGGAAAACCATGCCATTCCGCCTAGCCCCTCCCATAACCTCCTGGGGGGGGTTCTGGGGTAAAAGACCTTTCATCCTTTTACCCTACCCTCACTGGGGGGGTTCCGGGGGAAAAGCTTCCCTAACCCTCTGATCCCTCCCCAAACTCTCTCTGACGGGGTGGTCCGAGGGGAAACTTTCGGAACCTGTCTTAACCACCGTAAAACTCTCCGTGAGGAGGGGGTTCCAGGGGACAAACTTTTGAAACCTTCCCCTAGCCCCTAACAAAAATCCCTGAGGGGGGTTCGGGGGACAACAAACATACCCCCTCTAGCGTCCTCCCCCAAATGGGTCCGATGTAAAACCCCCCTTAACCTCCCCTAACCTGTCCAAGAACGCCCTGAGGGGGGGTCGAGGGGAACAAACAACGAAACCCTTTCTCAGGAAGGGTTAGGGCGGTTTTCCAGGGGGAGTTCCCGCGAACTGGAGTTGCTCGAGGCTGGCCAGGACATTTTTGAAACCCCACCAAGCCCCCTTCTAACCTTCATACGCAATCTCCTGAAGGGGGGGGGTTGGGGGAATGTTTGGAGCAAAGCCCCGCCTGGGGGGGGGAGGGGAGTTTTTGGGGCAAAGCCCCGCCTGAAGGGTGGGCTTCAGTTTTTGTTGAGGGGTTTACCTCTCCCCCCCCCTTCCCCGGGCCTGGGCCCCCCCCCCAACATCGGGGATCTTCTGACCCGGGTCAATCCAGACCCGGGTCAGCCAGGCCTTGCAGAATCGTGCAAGATCTTGCAATATCCTGCGCCCAAACCTTGGTCAATGCGAAAGATCCTGCAAGATCCTGCAAGATCCTGCAGGACCCTGCACCCAAACCCGGGTCAATGCGACCCTGGCCCTGCAGGATCCTGCAAGATCGGGCGCTCCGACTGGCCCCCGTTTGCATTGACCCCCGTCTCAAGGCTCCCGACAACAAAATTCTCAGGGGGGGGGGTTGTCGGGTGGTTTTCCACGGGCGGGGGGGGGTCGGGGATTTGCTGCACTGGCTTCGTTTTCAGGCAGCGCTTTTGGGGCACCCCGCCTCGGGAAGAGCCTGTGATGTGCAGGGGAAATCCAGGCGCCCATCTCAACAGGTCTCTGATGCTATCCTTAAGTCGGGCGTGTCCCTCTACAGGAGGGATTTCTAAGAATAGGTAAAGATAGTCAGGGGACGGTTTTTGGACTATTTTTGAGCATAGTTGGAGCATTTGTTTTTGGTATCTCTAAGCTTTCGCCCACAATCCACCTGCAGGGGGACAGGCCCGACCTAAATGCTATCCCCTTGAGACCCTGCTGCGGTCGCACCCAGCCGACCGGATGGAAGGGCAGGCGGGCGTCAACGCCGTGCTCATCGAGAGGCTGCTCGCGTTGGGGGCCTTGGCTCCTCACATGCTTGCCTTCGCGCAGCGATTGGCGCGCTGCCATCACAGCCTGGCCAAGAAGGAACTTTGGGTTTTTGTGTTGTGGCCATCGCGAAGAGATGTTCCTGAACGCTAACATCATTAGCAAGTGTGCAGGAGAGTCGATGTTTTGGTGTTGCTCATGGCTCTAGTTGGTAAGCTTCGCGTGACGGCAGTTCTGATTCGGAGCATGCTTGTTCCTGCTACTAGCAGCTGGCTGGCCGCAGCGTGGTCAATGTCACGTCCCACGGAGGCTTGCGAGGAGCAGCCGAAGTGTGCTTCAGATTCGAGACGGCCTTTCAGTCGCCATTCCTCGGATTGTGCAGGGGCTTGCGTGGTGCAGGCGCTCGTGCCTTTGCGCCGCGGCCCAGAAGCCGAGAGCTGAGGGACTGCGAGCTGGGTCCGTCGACTGCCCTGGGGGATCTCGGGACGGCCACGCCGTTCCGAACGTTGTGCTGCTGCCTGCGCTCCTGGGATATCCTGTGGCCGCGCTCGAGCGTGCGGAAAGGACGGTGCTCGGGACGGGTCCACGGTCCCCTAAACCGGGACATTGCCGACCAAAAGTTTGGAAGTTCCACCTGGCGATCATGAGGAACGGGGAATGCTTCGACTCACGGCCGCAGGCCTCTCGGACGCGCTGCTGTCCTGGACTGTCAAAATCCTCCCCCGCCTGAGTAGGGGGGCCCCGAGACGGGTTACTGGACCAATGCCCAGCTGCGAGGCACGGGAAGAGGATGAGAGGGAGAGGGAGAGGGCGAGGGCGAGGGAGAAGACGAGTGAGAGGGAGAGGGAGAGGGAAACAGAGGAGGAGGAGGCGGAGATGGAGGAGGAGGAAGAGGAGAAGGATGATGATGATGATGATGATGATGATGATGATGATGATGATGATGATGATGATGATGATGAGGATGATGATGATGATGATGATGATGATGATGATGATAATGATGAGGGGGAGGAGGACGAGGAGGAGGAGGAGGATGAGGAGTAGGATGATGATGATGAGGAGGAGGAGGAGGAGGAGGAGAAGGATGAGGCGGAGGAGACGCAAGAGGAGGGGTAGCAGGAGGAGGAGGCGGAGGAGGCGGATGATGATGCTGATGATGATGCTGCTGACGATGATGACGATGACGATGGTGATGATGATGCTGATGCTGATGATGCTGGTGATGATGATGCTGTGATGATGATGATGCTGATGCTGCTGATGATGCTGATTCTGCTGATGATGATGCTGACGATGATAATATGATGATGCGAATGATTATGCTGACGATGGTGAGGATGATGCTGATGATGAGAATTCTGCTGCTGCTGATGGTGATGGCTGCAGATGGTGACGATGAGGATGCTGAGGCTGCTGCTGATGATTATGATGAGGATGACGATGCTGCTGCTGATGATGCTGCTGCTGATGGTGATGACGTTGCTGATGTTGTTGTTTCGTTTGATGATGGTGCTGCTCATGCTGATGGTGATGCTGAATATGCCGACGATGCTGCTGCTGCTGATGATGATGATGCTGCTGCTGATGAGGATGCTGATGATGATGCTGATGATGATGACGATGGCGATGATGATGATGGTGACGATGATGATGCTGCTGATGATGATGCTGATGATGATGATGCTGCTGATGATGATGCTGATGATGATGACGATGACGATGGTGACTATGGTGATACCGATGATGATGCTGATGAGGCTGCTGCTAATGATGATGATGATGCTGCTGTTGCTGATGATGATGCTGATGACGCTGAAGATGATTTTGTTGTTTAAGATGATGATGATGATGGTAATGATGATGATGATGATGATGATGATGATGACGATGATGTGGATGATACTGATGATGCTGCTGCTGACGGTGTTGATGATGATGCTGATGCTGCTGACGATGACGATACTGATGATGACGACGAAGCTGAGTATGGTGATGATCACGACGACGACGATGATGATGCTGATGACGATGATGATGACGATGATGATGATGATGATGATGATGATGATGATGATGATGATGACTATGACTATGACGCCGACGACGCCGACGAGGATGTTAATGCTGATGCTGATGATGCTGATGATGATACTGATGGTGGTGATGGTGATGGTGATGGTGGTGGAGGTGGTGGTGCTGCTGATGGTGGTGATGCTGATGCTGATGCTGATGAAGATGATGCTGACGATGATGATGGTGATGATGCTGATGATTATGATGATGATGCTGATGCTGGTGATGATGATGATGATGCTGATGCGGATGACGATGATGATGATTCTGATGACGATGATGATGATGATGATGCTAACCACAAGGATACTGATGCTGATGATGCTGCTGCTGATGATGATGATGTGGTTGATGTTGTAGATGATAAAGCTGGCGATGCTGATGCTGATCATGTCGATGATGTTGAGAATGATTACGATGACGATGATGCTGATGATGATGGTGATGGTGATGTGATGTGATGATTATGAGGATGATGATGCTGACGATGCTGATGATGCTGCTGCTGATGATGCGGATGATGATGCTGCTGATGATGCTGATTATGCTGATGCTGCTGCTGTTGATGCTGCTGATGATGCTGCTGACGACGAAAACGACGATGATGATGTTGATGATGATGCGGATGCTGCTGATGATGATGACGATGATGATGCTGATGCCGATTGTGATGATGATGATGATGATGATGATGATGATGATGATGATGATGATGACGACGACGACGATATTGATGATGCTGCGGCTGCTGATGCCGATGATGATGCTGCTGATGATGATGCTGCTGATGATGATCATACTTAGTATTCTTATTATTCTTACTTGTGTTCTTTTTATTTCTTATGCTGGTGATGACGATGCTGCTGATGCTGATGACGAGGATGAAGATGTTGATGCTGTTGCTGCTGATTTTGATGAGGATCATGAGGATTATGTTGCTGCTGATGGTGATGATGCTGATGCTGATGCTGATGCTGCTGCTGCTAATGATGATGACGATGATGACGCTGAAGCTGCTGATGATGATGCTGAGGATGATGCTGATGATGATGATCATGCTGCTGCTGATGATGATGATGAGGAGGAGGAATCATTGGAGGAGAAGGAGGAGGTAGAGGAGGAGGAAGGGGAGGAGGAGGAGGAAGAGGAGGAAGAGGACCAGTGTAAACCCAAGAGTCATCAACGATATTGGAATAAGCCCTCCCCCTAAGGTCCTACTTCATAGGCCCCTACAACTGTTCATTTCCATTGAGGGAACTGCCTCGTTGGAAGACACCCGTTTGAAGACCCTGAAGCATGCAAAAGCATTGTTCTCGGGATTCCAACGCCACCGATTAACTTGAATGTTGCGTCTTGACGATCCTGAATCGTGCCAGAACGCCATTGCTGGAACTTCAACCTCACGAATCAACGTAACTGTGCGCCCTCATAATCCTGAGTCCTTCCACAACACCATTTCTGGTACGTTGATGATGGGAACCCGTGAAACTCTTGCACACTTTATAATCGAATGTGCGACCGCCCTCAATCAGTGAAACCCTTACACATTTTTAAATAGAATGCGCGCGGTGCTGAGTTGAGAGCCACATTTTGAAAACGGATCGCCCTCAATCCGTGCAATCCCCTGCAAATGTTTAACGAATGTGCGCGGCGCCAAGGCGAGAGCCACATTTTGAAAGCGGGTCGCCCTCAATCCGTGAAGCTCTTGCAATTTTCAACGAGTGTGCGCGGCGCTAAGGCGAGAGCCACATTTTGAAACCGACCCGCCCTCCATCTGAAACCGTTGCCAATTTTTATGCTTCAGAATCACAAATGACGAGGACGTGTGAGGCGAAACGCCCGGCCCGCCCTGAAAACTGGCCTCGGGGTGCGACAGGGAAAAGCTATCTATAAGAAAAAGGAATGGAGGATGATGATGAGGAGGAGGAGGAGGAAGACGAGACGGAGGAGGAGGAGGAGGAGGAGGAGGAGGAGGAGGAGGAGGAGGAGGAGGAGGATGAGGCGGAGGAGGAGGAGGAGGAGGAGGAGGAGGCGCAAGAGGAGGAGGAGGAGGAGAGGAGGAGGAGGAGGAGGAGGAGGAAGACGAGGAAGACGAGGGGGAGGAGGAGACGAATGATGATGATGTTGATGCTGCTGATGATGCTGCTGGTGATGATGCTGATGCTGATGCTGATGCTGATGCTGCTGCTGATGATGCTGCTGATTCTGATTGCGACAGTGCTGATGATGATGCTGATACTGATGATTCTACTGATGCTGCTGCTGCTGATGATGATGCCGAGGCAGATGATGATGTTGATGATGATGCTGCTGATGATGACGATGACGATGATGATGCCGATGCTGATGATGATGCTGCTGCTGATAATGATGATGATGATGATAAGGCGGCTGAAGATGACGATGATGATGCTGATGATGATCACGATGTCGATGCTGCTGCCGCTGCTTTTGCTGATGGTGATGGCGATGATGCTGATGAGGCTGATGATTATGATGATGGTGATGATGATGATGGTGATGATGTCGCCGCCGATGATGACGATTCTGCTGCTGCTGCTGCTGATGATGATCTGAGGATGAGGATGGTGATGCTGCTGCTGCTGATGCTGATAATGATGATGATGAGGATGCTGAGGCTGCTGCTGATGATTCTGATGAGACTGATGATGATGCTGATGATTATGATGCTGCTTCTGATGACGAGGATGATGTTGACGATGGTGATGACGATGGTGCGCATGATGATGCTGATGATGATGCTGACGATGGTGGTGATGATTTTGATGATGATGATTATGATGATGACGGTGGTGATGATACAAAGTATGATGATGATACCGCTGATGCGGATGCTGCTGCTGATGAGGATGGTAATGAAGCAACTGATGATGATGCTGCTGATGATGATGCTGTTGCTGCTGATGATGGTGATGAT